CAGCAAAGAGAGAAGATAGAGCTAAAAGAAAAAAGACAAAAACTAAAATAGTGAAGATAGATAGAAAACTGAAACAGAAGGTGACTTCTGACTATCTCCAATGCAGATACGCTGTAGATACAGATTAAGAAAAAAAATTTAATCTCTTACCACTAATTAATCCAAGTTCACATTATTTCTGTCAGCACAAACCATCTAATCACTAAAGCCCACAATCAAAACCTCATTTTTTCCCACTCAAGCACGTAATCTAAGAAGGGTTGCCATAAGGAGACAAATTTAGAAGCAGTATTATCTCTTATTAACGCTGTTAACTTCGCCATTTGAGCCAAGTCCATTAAGTTAATGATCCATTCTTCCACTGTAGGTATTTGTGGATCCTTCCATCTTTGCACATATAACAATTTTGCAGCTGTGATCATATACGAAAGCAGAGTTCACAACTGCCAACATCCTTAACCCTTTACCATGATAGTTGAAAAGTTGCTGAAAGTTACAGTTCAGTAACCTCTGAAGGGCCCAAGTTTCTTTTCTTGTGCCTAATTTATGCACTTGTTTACATTTTTAAAATCTGTTAATTGCATCACAAAATGTAGAGAAGAATGAATAAGAGCACAGACCTTTGTTCTGGTTCACATATATATGAGGTGCATATTAAACGTGAGCTAAACAAATTTCTATTAAATTTCCAGCACTAATTTTCCATCACAAAGGGGCAGGTGGATGCCAGTATGGGTTCCCCTGAAATAGCTTCCTCACCCCAAAATTTTGCACCTGAAACCTCAGCTGGGGAAACACATGCTTGATACTCAATTTTAAATAGTCTTTCTTCAATTTGATGTGCCTCCACAAACAACCCTTGCAAATAACGCCCCACCCAAGACTTATATATAAAAAAAAACTCACAGTGTTAGAAGAGCCTTAGGAAGATTACGAGATATCAGTAGTTAGGAATATAAAAGCTCAAATAAATCAATTTAAATAAATAAAATTGGCCAGTACACCAGCATTACAACATCCTGTCTACCCAAACTCTCCATGGAAAGGAGATTCTGATTTGTTTTTGCTTTTTTTTTTTTCCCCCCTGGGCATTCTGACTCTAAACTGCTTTCTGAAACCAGGAGAAATCTTGATTATGTAACCATAAGCCTTTGGCTCCCCCCCCCCCCCCCCCCCCCCTCCTTAGAAGGATTCTTTGGAAGCACTGCAACTTCAGACAAGAAGACTGCTATATCTCCTGGTCTTTCTGTTGTTGTCAAGAGCATTTCACAGCCAGCTTAGCAGCAAAATATTTGTTGGCCCAATCTAACTCCTCTAAAAGATTAAATTGACAGTTAAGCACATCTCAACAGCTTCTTGGAAAGCCGTTTTGATTGCAAGTCACTGTCTTGGAAAGCTTAAGACAATGGCTACTACAGTGGAGATTGGCTTGAACTTTGACAGGGAGAGCCAATCGGAACCAGCTTCCAAAGAGGCTGATCGTTCTGCATACTCAACGGAGCTACCCAGTTTAGTGCATTGTGGGAACACTGAAGAATTGCTCCATCAGATGACACCACAAGAAGGTCATCCCAAAGCATCTCGATGCTGGGAAGATGCTTGGCAACAAGTATTGCGGTCAACAAGCAGCCAGTCACGGCCAGACTCCATGAACCATGAAAAGCTGCAACCTAATGAAACTAATAGTCCTTTGAAGAGCTCAGGGCCAGCAAGTTCATCTGAAGAAGTTGTGATAAATGAGGATACTGTTCTTGAGGTTGTACCACCCTTGTCCCTTCCACTGAAAAACACATGGATGCTTCAACTCCACCTAGAGGATGACATTGAAGATTACCTGGAGGGATTTGAGTCAGTGGCCTACACCAACCGCTGGCCCAGAGAAGAATGGGTTGCCAGACTGAAGCCATATCTGAGCCGCAAAGCTCTTCTAGCCTGCAGCATCTTGGAACCCGGTCTTGCTAATGACTATGATGTGGTGAAGAAGCGCATCCTGCACCAATATGGCATCACTACAGAGATGCAACGCCAGTGCTTCAGACAGTTCCGATACCAGGAAGCCAAGGGCCCCCGAGAAACCTGCCAAATTCTCCAGGCCCTTGGACAGCGCTGGCTGAAGCCGGAAAGGCACACCAAAAAACAGATTCTGGAGCTACTGATTCTGGAGCAGTTTCTAGCCATCCTGCCCCAGGAAATGCAAGACTGGGTCCGGGGATGCTCTCCAGAGACTTGCGCCCAGGCTGTGGATCTTGTTGAAGGCTTCCAGCTGGGAGATGAGGTGAGAGAGATGTGAGTGGTGGAAAAGCTGTTTGTTATAGGAAGTTGTTGGGTTTGTGTTTGGTTATATCTGTATGCTAAGTACCTGAATGAATGGATACAAAGCTGGGTTGGAAACCTAAGGTTATCTGGCTGTTAGAACTGTTTTAATCTCCACCAAACCATATTATTTGACTCTCTTGAAGACAGTGGCAGGAATGCTTCGCTCGTTTTCAGGCGTTACTCTATCTGGGCTGTAATAGTCCAGATAGCCATTAGATGCCAGCAGTGAGATCCAGAAAAGCCTTGCTGCCATCAAGTTGTGCAGCCCAGGTATGGAAAATCTCACTTATGTCAGGTTTCCCTAGTTAATTTGGTTCACTATATAGGTGAGGGGGATGAAGATCATGTGACAGGAACCATGCGTTGGTTTTGAGCATTTTGTTCTTCTCATTTGTTAACAAGTGGTTCAGCGGTCTGACATGGATCTGCATCTGGGGCTTTTCCACATGCAAAAAAGGTGTAGCTTCTCCAATGAATATTTCTGTTTGCAAAGCCACAGTCACCTCATGGTGTAGGAAACGTCAAGATTCTTGCCTGTAAGACCTCGAGGTCACTCAAGATGCTTCAAGAAAACTCACCACTTGTATTGTACAATACAATAGTGCACAGCATCTTTCCTAAGAGTGTCCTTTAAATGTGTTCAAATACAACTTCCAGCATTCTAGTGACTGATTATTCAACTAGAAGGCACCAGGTTGGAGATGGATTGTTTAAATGTATGTGCAGGGTCATCATACAGTATGATGCATGCAGGAGATAAGCTGTTTCTTCCACATTCCCTGTAATGTTTTGAAATGTGTGAAGTGGCTATGGGAGCTGTCAGTGCTGGAGTCAGAGGCAAAGTAAAATAGCTTGAATCTTTTGGGAACATTGTTTGAGTCCCAGAGCTATGCTGAGAGAGCTCACTGAAGGGGTTCGAGTGTGCATGCAGGCCTTTCCAATCAGTGTATCTAGGGATTCATGTATTTGGAATTTTGTTTTTTTCCTCATCTGATTTCTAAACGTGCCTCTTTCGTCCCCTTTCCCCACAACCCAAAAAGCCACCAGTGCCATTCAAAGACATTGATGTGAAGTTCTCCAGTGAAGAGTGGGCCTTGCTAACTGAAGAGCAACGAGCATTATATCACGATGTCACGCTGGAGAACTTTCAGAATGTGTCCACCTTGGGTGAGGATTGACCAGCTTTCTTGAGCCCCGTTTGTTTCCATGGCAGCACAGGAACAATACCTTCCTGGTTCCATTATGAACCTAGTTTCTAATGCTTGTGACAGGACCAAATGGATGAAGAGGGGATTTATAGTCCACAACATCTGGAGGGCATGTGGCTGGGAAGGCTCGACTAGCAGGACCCTGGAGGTCTTGGGGAACTGATGGTTGTCTCCTCTGCAGCATAGTGCTTTTGTCTGAACCTTCTGATACTGTGTAAACGTATTTATTTATTTGGTTCAGATCCTGCCTTTCATTCAGGAGCATGAGGTGGCATACACAGCACTCCCTCCTCCTATTTCTCCCCACAACAACCCTGGAAGTTGGTTGGACTGAGAAAGAGTGACTGACCCAGTCATCTAGTGAGCTTCTGTGGCTGAAGATAGACTTGAACTGTGTCTCCCTGCCCCTATTCCAACACCTTCACTACTACTCCACACTGCCTCAGTGGGTTGCACAGGTTAATCAGCGACAGCTGAGGGAAAGACAATAGAACTGGCATTGCTGTATCCCTATTTCTCTCTTGCTCTGGTTCTGATCTAGATCAACTGTCCCTCCTCATGCCTGCTGTTAATGTTTAAACAAATGTGGTGTCTTGTTGTGTTTAACCCAACTTTCAGAATTTTTCACTGAGAAACTGAGAAGCTACGAATCTCTGGTTATGCTCTGCTTCTTTCTTTTGGGCAGGTATTCCACTGGAGAAACCTGAGATAATCACCCGGATACAGCAAGGGGGATACTTGTGCTTTCAGGACAACACCATAAGAGGAAATTCTCCAAAAAATCGATTTATAGGTAAGGAAGATTGAACTGGGTGTTTAGTTATGATCCACCTAATCTGTTGACTAGTGTCAGGTTCAGCCCAAGGAACTCCAAGAGACAATGCAAAATCAGTCCAGCTATGTTTAGGAACTCCAAGAGACAATGCAAAATCAGTCCAGCTATGTTTAGGAACTCCAAGAGACAATGCAAAATCAGTCCAGCTATGTTTAGGAACTCCAAGAGACAATGCAAAATCAGTCCAGCTATGTTTATTAGCTACAACCTCTAGCAAAAAACCCCAGTTCCCAAAGTCCTCCAGCCACAACACCGTGAATTCCTCAGGGAGGTGCCAGCCTCATCCTCTTGTAGCTCCCACACTCTTTCGGAGAACTAAGAAAACACTTATCTCTCTGAGCCTGGCCTTCATAATTCCATTCCACCACATCTGTGTACTGTATATGTATATGTATATGTACATGTACATGTACATGCATACACACACACACACACACACACACACACACGTACATATCCATACTAAAGAAGTGCTGTTTCTTTTGCTATTAGCAGCAGGAATTATGATTCTAATTAGAACTGCTTGGGGAGGCTGAGTGTGTGCATTTCTCCAGAGATGTCTGTGGGGGAGGTTCAGAAAAGTAAAGATGGTGGGGATGATCAAAACTCCACCCCTTTTTAACATGCTTCACAACACAAATAAAAAGGGGTGAGGCTTCAATAGCACCGTCAAGGATGCCATTTGAGTGTTTTGACCCACTGTTACTTAGGGGTAAGCAAATCACTGGGGGCAGCTCCCAGGCCCAATTTGCAGTCCCAAGAACACACCCAGATTACACTCTCAAAATTTGACAACAAAATCACTGGTTTTAACCAGTGCCATTTTCTACTGTCTCACCCCCAAAGAGACCGAATGGACCTAGTAGGCTTCCCCAGGACTTCACACACCTTTAACATTTTAAAAAGACTGTTTTTTCTTCCCATTCTCCAGCCAGCCAGCCTAGTGCCATCAGCTTTCAGAGAACACCTCCCACAGAAAGAAGAGAAAAAGTATGCCCTATGTTCTTTTCCTAGAAATCAGAGAAATGCCTACCACAGTGATATGCAGTTTTGGAATCAAGAGAAAACGTTCCTTCCTTAAGCCTCTTTCCCAGTTAAAGAATGGGGCTGGGGGAAAAACAGAGATAATCTCTTTGGCTGTATTCAGAAGCAGCTGCTTTTTCTTCTTTCCATTGCAGGAAACCCACTGTCTCCAACTGTTACCCAGGGGGTGGAAAAACGTTCCTTTTTAAGGAGAGCCACCAAGACAGTTAAGGTACAAGCCCCAGCAATGGAAGCACCCCAGGGCAGTTTGGGCCGAGGGGGAGCATTGGACAAGGAGCCTAAATCTCTCAAAGAGGGCCCTGCATCAGTGCCCCTCACTAGTATCTACCCCCTAAAAAAGCCATTGGCTATCCCAAAGGATACATCTTCCAAAAGAAGGAAGCATCAGCCACACCTTACAAGAGAGTGGGCTTCCACAAAAGTTGGGCCTCAGCCATCACTGCTGGGGGAAACATCTGGAGGGCTGGAATCAGGCAGCCAAATTTTGACTGCCAAGGGCCGCAAACGAAAGACGAATCTGGGTCCTCAAGAAGCTAGGCCATCAAAGCTGAAGAAGCAAACTGCATCAGTAGGGGAGCACCCCAAACTGAAGAAGAAATCCGAGGTTCTGAGTGAGCCACCCACGCTGAAGAAGGAAGCCCTGTTGCGCGAAAAGACTGCCCAGGAGAAAGAGCATCCACTGGCGTTTCTGGAAGTAAAACTCCATGAAGCCCCTCTCCCGGTCATCACATGGCATCCTCCCTTCAGTGCCACAGTGGTCTCTGATCTCACGTGCCTGGACTGCGGTCGGTCCTTCAAGCAGAGGGCTGACCTGCGCCGACACCGGTACGTCCATACCCGGGAAAAGCCATATGCCTGCACACTGTGTGAAAAATGTTTCAGGCATCCGAGCAATCTGCACATCCATTTGCGGACGCATAGCGGGGAACGGCCCTATCAGTGTCCCGAGTGCGGAAAGGCTTTTTCGCAGAGCTGCAACCTTCGGACTCACCGCAAGATCCACACTGGCAGCAAGCCATACCAGTGCTGCGTCTGTGGCAAGTCCTTCTGCCACAGCTCCAATCTCACCATCCATCAGCGAGTGCACACTGGAGAACGCCCTTACCCCTGCTCTGCCTGCTCCAAGCGTTTCAGCGACAGGTCCACCCTGGTGCAGCACGAGCGGACGCACACGGGCGAGAGGCCCTACGCTTGTGCCGTCTGCGAACAGAGGTTCAGCCAGATATCTCACCTCGTGAAGCACGGCCGCATGCACCCCGATACTGGGGACCCGGCAGAGCCCGCTGAAGACCCATCTCCCAACCTGTCAAAGAGCGTCCTCCTGCCACCTGGTGAAAAAGACTCTTTCCGAATGACGGCATCCAAGCAGGGTGAGAATCTTGCCTGGATTTCAAAAACGTGGGTTTCTTCTTCTAAGGCTAGTGGTCAGCAGAATTGCACCACCACATAAAGGTGGCTGGGCACACTGGAAAGCAAAAAGGGAAACTGAGGCTTGCAATGAGGAAAAAAATGGCTGGCAGAGAAGCAGTAACAGAACACTTAGGAAGTGATGAGAGAACTGCTAAGGCTGCAGTCCCCCCCCCCCATGTGCTGTTCTCTTGCGATCGACCCACTGTAAACTGCTAGACTTCATTATAACATGCAGAGGAACATGCTGGAAATGATACTCCAGCTTTCCCATAGGTGTGCTATGGAGTCTATAAGAAAAAAATATATATTCTTGCACATTTCTCCTTCCCTAGCATTTTTTCCTTTTAAAGAAATCTTTTCAAATATTGATTCCTAAATGCTTGGCCAGCCTTTTGTGCTGCCATCATCTCCGGTGATTAACAATGTGTATGGAAAATAGACAACAGGTGGAAAATCCAAGGCATCTCTGCTTCCTTTCCTCAAAGAAGGGGCAGAAAAAAGCCTACGGGGCTCTTGTAAGCTTTAAGGAAGGGGTATCGTGCCTGCAACCAGTAACACTCAAGGGTTGCTCCTGAGTTTGAGCAAATGAGGAAAGGAAATGAGGAGAGAGGCAGATACGTATTAAATACATGGCTTGTGGGGTCAAAGAAGAGTTACCGGAAGGCAGAGCCAAGATACCTTTGATGCCTGATCGGAGCTTTGTAAAGCCAGGCTATTTTTGGTTTTTCCTACCTGTGGAATTGCAGGGCATCTTCTATACCATGCATTTTTAATGTTGCTCATCAATATCAGCTGGAAGAGGTGTAGAAGGCCTGGAGCTCAGGGGCCTGTGGTACAGCCCCTCAATTATTGGCACTGTCTCCTTCCTTAATTTAAAAAGGTTCTGTGGTCTGGATGAGTGCGGCTGGACATGTCTTGCAGGGGGCAATTTTAATATTGTTATTTAAAATAGACCTTCTTTGCAACACAGTGGCACTTGTTCCAGAATAATAAATGTGGCTGTGTAAAAGGAAAAGCACATCGCTGCTAAATCCAGAGTCTAAAATTACCTGGCTGCAGTAGAGAAGGGTCAGTTCAGCTTCCCATTAACTGTTCCTCTCCTTGTACCACCCATAGCAAGATTATTTCTTAGGCTTCTAGGTCCATCCTACCTGCCGCCGTCTAGTGGACATTCAGAGTTTTGCAGCCCAAATACAACATATCTAGAGTCCACATATGTCAGTCTTTTCTTTTTAAAAGCCTCATAAACAAGCAACAGGGAAACAATTAAATACAACTCCTGTGAGAGTTCATTACCCAATATAGATTCCCGAATTTAAACAGAATGTAGTAAATAGTCATGATAATAATAATAGAAGTATGAACTGAATAACACCCAAATGCCAAGGCCAGTTCCTGGAATTTTA